TTTAGAGGGTCGAGATTTTGGAGTTTTCACGGTACTAATTATTCCATTTCAATGAAACTTAGTACAAAGATGCTCTAGGACAATGTACAAACTAATTAGTTTGGGGTAAAAATCTGTTCATATTAATTCCCTAATAAGCATAATAATTCATAATTTTTTGGTTCTAATCACATTTCAATTAAACTTGGAGACATAGATTTTCTGTTACATTGCGCAGACCTCATTAGTTTTACACTCAAATCTGGTCATATTAATTTTCTGATTTGCATAATTAGTTTTCAGCTAAGTAATTTCGAATTATATTTAATGTGTCTCCAATACTCTCAGCACATGGGAGTTCTTTCTAAGCTTTCTTTGATTACATATTAATACACTTGGGTGATCAGGTGACATATAACATCATTTCAAAAGTATGTATTCTGATGCATACAATAAAGTAGTCCCAAAAGCATCACACTGAGATAAAAACCAAAATCATGAGTTGTTTCCTGTTATGGCTATGTCTCCCCCCTGATTTTATCGGATAACTATTTTATTCGTGTTACCACTGTGTATGAGGGAAGTTACAACATGAAGCATTGCATACTTCCTTGGGTAGTTTTGTTTAGAGTGCACTCGATTCAGTAATACATGATAGGAATTTTTGCAGTGAAGCCAATAAATAACTCAGTTTATAAACGACACAAATGTCACCTTTTAATCAGTATATACCGTAACTCTAAAATGTTAGAACTTTCAGATTTAAGTTTTGGCAGACAATACTTTCATTGTTTGGGTGGTGTTTTTGCATATTTTTGTGTGTGTATTTTTCTAGAAATTTTCCGTTAATTTTGAACTGAATGGACATAATGGCTTGATGAAAATTTCGGAAAAAATATGGGGTTTTGTTTTGTGAAAGCAAACTTTGCCATTCAAATACACCAAATACACTAAATTAGATCTGTAGGTACAAAAAATGTATTTTGAATCCCGGTATAGCATTTCTCACAAAGTGGATGATTATGCAAATTAATAAATATCTCTGTTTATTTCTTGGTACTAGGCATAAGTTTCAATTTTTCATCAGAACAATGTTAGCGACACCTTAAACAGCACCATGACACCATGTTGTATCATGTGTTTTATTTCAACAGATGATGCTGGACTTTCGGAAGGAATGCTTCAAGCAAGAACAAAAAATTGTTATACGCGTGGAAAAGGATTGGTTGTTATTTTGAATAATTATACTGACAGCCGAGAAGGTGTGTTTTGCACAAATTAAGTAACATAATTACACTCAAAGTTATAAATTTTATACAAATTGCAGCTCTTTAATAGTGCATTGCAGTAATCACAGCTCTTCTCTGTTTCCAGGTTCTCGTATTGATGAAGATAATATCAGGAGAACATTTGGTGATTTCCTTCATTACGTAGTACTGCCACCTCAGCACAACTTGAACAGAGATGGCATCTTAAATTATCTTAATGTTATCAAAAACAAGATCAAGAATGATGTTGCCATCAATGTTTCATACTCAAGTTTATTTGTGTTTTTTGGTAGTCATGGTCAAAAGGTATGTCCTCCAATCCAATCTACTGCATCCCACTCCACTGCATCCCACCCAACTGCACTAGACTGCACTGCACTGCACTGCACTGCACTGCACTGCACTG